GAGTCCTTTCAAGCGGTCCAGCTGCCGACGTGTGTCGGTGAGTGTGTGTGTGTCGATGTGTGTGCGTGCGTGCGTGTAAGTGTGTGTGTGTGTGTGTGTGTGTGTGTGTGTGTGTGTGGTGTGTGTGTGTGTGTCGATGTGTGCGGGCAAACCGCCCTATAAACCTGGGTCACGCCAGGCATAGTTCACAACAACCCGCCTGGGAGGTGACACGCATTGGCGAGACAAGGCCTCGACCTGGGCCGTCTTGGAGGCACTGCGGACAGAAAGGGGGTGGGGTGGGGGTGGGTCAAACTAGCCGAGCATCACAGCGACGGCACACCGCTCTCGACACGGGTCTCTCTCCCGACACAGTCGGTGGCTGTTCGACGACACAACAGCGCGCGCAGAACGCCGTAAGGAGCGGGGGGAGTCCGTTCTGCGCAGCTCTCTGTGCCAGCAGACTGAGAGTCGTTTTCGTCGCTCTGTCTCTCTCGTACCTATACGGGGCGCCTCGTGAGTGCGTGAGGGACAGAGCGACGAAAACGACTCTCCCGAATCAGTGAACGGTACGCCATAGAAAGTAGCGGAGCCCGTTCCACGCAGGACACGCGATAGAGAGTGCGATTCCGAAACGGGTGTCGGCGCCGCGTCTCTCTCGCACTCATGGGGGTGTTCCGTAAGGGCGCGAGAGAGACAGGCGACGAAACAGTGCTGCGAATCGATGCCGGAGAGAGTCCTTTCAAACCGTCCGATGCACAGCGGGCCAGAAGATCTGTGGAGGCGGCCAAAACTCTCAACGTGTTTAGAGCTCCAGAGGCGCTAAATGGTACTCGAACCGAACGTGTGACCCACCAACGGATTGCTCTCTGAACGAGCAATTCATTGGCGTGGTCACAAGTTCGGTTCAAGTCCCATTCAGCGACTCTGGAGCTCAGAACGCGTCGAGAGTTTGGGCGCCGCCGGTCTTCTGGCCCACTGTGCGATGACGCGCGTGATTCCGCCCACCCATTTGGCCATTTGGCCACCGAGCGATTCAGGAGAGCGCGGAAGGGCTTGTCTCTCTCGCGCCTTTGCGGAGAGCCCCACGAGTGCGAGAGAGACAGCGACGAAACGACTCCTCTGGATCGCCTGATCGGAGTGAAAGCCTCAATGGCGTTGCCGTGGCCACGAGGGGTCCGAGGGGACCGCACTCCGGCCAAGGTGAGGGCCGGGCCGAACCCTGCTCTGTCTCTCTCGCCTTCATGGGGCGTTCCGTCCGGGCGAGAGAGACAGAGCGATGGAATGCCGCTGCTCGGAGCCAGCTTCCACCGGAGTGCTGTCGACTGATTCCGTGAGTCGTTTTCGTCGCTCTGTCTCTCTCGCACTCATGCGTCCTCCCATATGGAGCGAGAGAGACAGAGCGCCGAGAACGACTCTCGGAAGTAGTGTGCTGGCTGGCCGGGGCTGGCCGACCGGCAGGGTGTTCGGGCGAAGGGTGGAGGATTTCGGTGTCAATCCCTCAAGATGTACAGCGCCAGACCGCGGCCGACACTGACCGGCACGGCCAGCGCGAAAAGCCAAATGGAAAAACTTTTACGAGCCTCTGCTCTTCCTTCGCCACCCCTTTCCGCTCATCTCCGCCCCCTCCCCCCAGGCTCTTTCCACCCCACACGTCTTCACCTTTTCCCACCCCTCTCGTTCCAAGCCACTGCAAAACTCCTACGAGCATGTTTGCTTTGTAAGTTACGATGAAAATTGCGCAAGCATTTTACAAAACTCGTGTGCTGAAAACTGTGAGTGACGGTCTTGTCACTATGTTGCCGTACATGTTAGCTTCTCTCTCTTCCCCCCCCCCTCCCTCCCCACCCTTCCCTCCCGACCGACGTTCCGAGATTTGTGTGTCATCGAATTACCGTCCGTGTTGCGAGATTGCCATCGGCAGCGAGCAGGCGGGCCTGCAGACTGGTTCCGAGAGTCGTTTCTGTCGCTCTATCTCTCTCACACCGTCACGGGACGCCCCATAAGTGCGAGAGAGACAGGGCGACGAAAACCACTCTTAGAGTCAGTCTGCTGGGGCTGCCGAGCGCAGACAGCGCTATTTCGTCGCTATCGGTCTCTCTCGCTTTTCCACACGGTACGCCCCGCGAGTGCGACAGAGACGACGAAAGCAGTGTCTGCAGAACACAAAGATGTTGGATAAAAATTACGAAATGTCTCTGCCAGCTCTGCGCGGCAAAAACGGCCCCTAGCTGATTTTCCCTGAAACTCCCTTGAACTGCCTTTGTTTTGTCTATAGGCTGGAAAACCAGGGACCGTTTCCATCGTGTGCGGCGTTTTTCGCGTCAAAATATTGGCTGCCACTTTCGCTCTGCATTTTGCCCACAGTGGGCACGGAGACCGGGAGAGGTGGTCAAAGTTTTTCGACGCGTTTTGAGCTCCAAAGTCGCTAAACAGGACTCGAACCGAACGTGTGACCCCACCAATGGATTCCTCGCTCGGAGAGCGATCCATTGGTGCGGTCCCATGTTCGGTTCGAGTCCTGTTTAGCGACTCGGGAGCTCAAAACGCTTCTGTAGTTTTGGCCACCTGCACCGGTCTTCTGGCCCACTGTGCGTCCCCGCGGAGAGCGCGGCCGCCGCACCAACGCCGCACATAGGGCAAGCAGCCCATAGGGCAGCCTGGCCTGCCCGGCCCGGCCCTCGGCCTGGCTAGGCCTGGCCAGGCCTGGCCTGCCGCAACCAGCAATGCTGGGCCAGCATCGCTTGCCTGCGCTCGCGGCGGAACAGGACGGGAGGGGAGGGGGGAGAGGGGCGGGAGGGGAGGGGGTGGAACGCGGGTCACCGGGGGGCCCAGGGAGGGGGCAGAGGGGGCCGCGCGTGTGGTAGGGGCGGTAGGGGTCACGCTGCTGGGGGTGGCGGAGGGGCAAGCTATCCAGGGGCCTCCAGTTAGGGGGCAGCATTCGGTAGGGGGTCGAGGGGGGGGGGGGAGCGTGGACACGGAATTGCGACTGTGCAGCAAGACGAGGGTGGTCTGCATGACTTCCGCGCGGAACAGGGGAACACGCATTTCGACTTTCAGCGCGTGTACGCTGTATACGCACGAATCCCACAACACTTCGCTTCACAAACGAAACCTGAAGAGCGATACACCGATAATGGATTCCGTTGTTGTAGTACTTCACAGAGCGACGCGAGTTTCCACTTCGGTATAAAGTTGGAGGGAAAAAAAAGAAACAGGAAAAAAAGAGCCTTTTGTGTGTGATATGGATATCCATAGCCGTCGTTCCGCTCGACCGGAGCTTCGACCGAACCTTTCGGATCTTTGAACTCCAAACCCCGTTCTCCGCGTCAAATCCTTTTCTCTTTTTCGTCATATTTCAGCGAAACTCCATTTGCGCGCCGCGGAGTGTATATGCAGTGTGTCGAACAAGACACGTGGCGCGGCTCAGCAGCGCGACCCGTCAGCCCCACGTGTGGCGCCACCCGCCCCGCCCCGTTCGCCGGATTATTCGTTCCGCTTTTTCTCGGCTTGGCGTTTCGGGCAGTCAGCATTCTGGCAGCCCGACACTGGAAGGGAAGGAAACTGGACGCTGCGGCGCCGCGGAGCTGCGGGCAGGGCATGCCAGGGCAGGGCCAGGGCAGGCAGGGCACCTTGTTACCGAGGGACAACGCGGACTTTCTCTTTCACTCTCTGCCTTTTTGTTGGCCGTCGCTCCAATTTCTTTTCCCTCTCTGTCCGTCTGTCTGTCTGTCTGCTTCTCTCCATCTCTCTTTCTCTCTCTCTCCTCTCTCTCTCTCTCTCTCTCTCTCTCTCTCTCTCTCTCTCTCTCTTTGCCTCGCCCTGCAGGACGTGCTGGACAAGGCCGCGGAGAGACAGACGGAGGCGTGCTCGAGGTTGACCGCTGGCGAGCGACTCCGAAGAGACGTTCCGTCGCTCTGTCTCTCTCCCGGCGACGAGCCCCGCCCCACGAGAGTGACAGAGACAGAGCGACGAGACGACGCGTCGGAGACAGTCGGCTGTCGTTTCTGGATGACGTAGCAGCACGGCCACGCTCTGTATCACCACGCTGGTGTCAGAGTGTCATCGCTAAGCCGCAAGGCCGTTCTCACTCGGCTTGCAGAAATAACCTCTGCCCCCCCCCCCCCTCTCTCTCTGCCCGTCCAGAGAAGGGACGAAGGGACTAACGAAGTCTGTCCAGGCTCGCCGAGAGGGAAAATGGCTTCCATAAATTGTGTATGCCGCCGAAATGCACCAATGGGATTATAAATTCGGTCGCGCACAGTGAAAAAACCTGACTTTAAACAATAGAGAAACCACATACTCTCAATATTATAGGTGACCAGACTCTATTCTTAATATTTTTAGCGTGCTAAACTGAGAAATCTGACTGAACACACGTTTTTTTCGAATCCACGAGGAGCACCTTGCTAATTTTCCTCGTTTCGTCTTAATTTTTTTTTTCTGGCGGTGCAGTGTGTCTCGTCCTGTCCCTTTGTTTTCCCTCTCCTTGTAGAAGCGTGTCCTTTTTTACCCCTTTGACCCCCCCCCTTTTCCCCCCCGTGCCGTCCTCGGATTCCGACTGCGTGTGCGCCTCCAGACTGATTCCGAGTTTGTCTCTCTCGCACCTACAGGAGACACCCCACGAGTGCGAGCGAGACAGAGCGACTCTCGGTCTGCTGGCCGTGCCTGGCTGTGCCTGTCCAGCGCGACGACCGATGGCGCGAAACGTTTTAATGGTCCGCGGCAAAGCGAACCGGCGAGGCGCGACGAAGCGGGGCGGGGCGGGGCGGGGCGGGGCGGGGCGAGAAAGAGTTACTGGAACACCACTTAGCGCGGCTGGGCCAGGGGCGGGTCCAGCAGACTGGTTCCGAGAGTCGTGTTCGTCGCTCTGTCTCTCTCGCACCCATGGGGCGTCTTCTATTGGCGCGAGAGAGACAGAGCGACGAAAACGACTCTTCTCGGAATCAGCCTACGGTCGAATAACAGCAAGTCGGAAAAACAGACTCCGGAAGTTAAACGGCCTCTCTTTTTGCCCGCAGCCATGTCCGCCGCCTCCGAGGCCGCCATCAAGAAGCTCAACTTGGAGAAGGCCACCAACTTCATGCGGCAGTACCGCGACCCGCAGAGCCGCGAGCTGCGCAAGCTGTCGGCGCACCAGTTCATGGAGGTGTGGAGCCACTACGACAAGGACGGTGAGTGCCTTCTTTTGCCTTCGCAGCAGACTGATTCCGAGAGTCGTTTTCGTCGCTCTCTCTCTTCCGCCCCCATACGGGGCGCCCCATGAGTGCGTGAGAGATAGAACGACGAAAGCCACTCTCGTCTGCATGGTCGGATATGCGAGGATCTAAGATTTCACCACGGAGGGGGCAATGTGGAGATCGTGCATTTTCCGTGTCAAACTGCGGAGTTATTTGCAGTGGTGGCGGCGCGCAGTGGGCCAGAAGACTGGTGGCGGCGGCCAAAACTCTAGACGCGTTTTAAGGTCCAGATTCGTTAGACAGGACTCGAACCGAACGTGTGATCCCTCCCATGGATTCCTCGTTCGGGGTCACACGTTCGGTTCGAGTCCCATTTAGCGACTCTGGAGCTCAAAACGCGTCCTGGGACTTCTACTGCCTCCACCGGTGGCCCACTGTGCGCCACGGCACGTTCGCACTTCGGCTTTGGGGATCTTGCGCGACGCCACTGTAATTTGTTCGGCAGTGGCAATCCACGTGGCAATCACGGAGGCCGTAAAGGGCCGACACGTCACCCAGCGAGGGCCGAGAGAGAGAGAGAGAGAGAGAGAGAGAGAGAGAGAGAGAGAGAGAGAGAGAGAGAGAGAGAGAGAGAGAGAGAGAGAGAGAGAGAGAGAGAGAGAGAGAGAGAGACGAGAGTCACTGACCGCGCCATTTCGGTCAAACGGCCCAGCGGGCCGGCAGAGCGAGCGGAACGAGTGGCTGGCGGCCCTTTGCCCCTCGGACCTCGCAGGGACCTCGCAGGGACAGGCGCCACTGGCCGAAACGGCCGGGGTTCAAATACCGACCGGCCAGAATCATGTGGACGCGCGCACCGGGAACAAAAGTGTCTGTCGCGTTTTTATTTTTTTCACTTTGGTAAAATGCCTTTGCTTTCTCGGTCTAATAAACGGCCAAAGTTTCAATTTTGGGGACTTGTTTTGAAGCTTGCTTGCAAGTTTCACGTGAGTGCCACCTTAAAAAAAATGGCCTAGATTTCTTGGATTTCTTGGCGGGTGGCAAGTTTGCCTCTGATAAATTTACCGAGGTTTGTCGCTGGAACATCCCACGTGACAAGAAGGCGAGACTTTTCTTGGGCTCGAAATTTTGGACCTGTCTGTCTGTACCGCTCGGGGGCTGAAGCAAAGTGGCGGAGCGGTGTCTGGAAGGAGGAGGACAGAAGATGTCTTTGTCAAGCAAATAATAAGCCCCGCCTCACACAACGAGGCTTACAGTTTCCCCCGCAAACTTGCCCAGAGGTGCGCCACGCACTGCTTGTGGTTGAGGGGGCCGGCTGCTCCGGCTGCTCGCTCGCGGAGTCGTAGACAAGAAGTAACGCTTCACCTAAGACAGCAGGCTCGCTCCCTTGCACACACGCGCCGAGGCTATGCCGGACTGAGTGCCCTTGTCGCACGCTTTCGCCCTATATTTCTGCCGTGACGTGACTCGGGCCTTTATTAGATCGCTATATCACGGCCGAGGCCGAGCAGGGAGTCCTCGTGCACTCACGGCCGGGCAGGGAGTCCTCGCGCACTCACGGCCGGGCAGAGGGAGTCCTCGTGCACTCACGGCCGGGCAGAGGGAGTCCTCTTGCACTCACGGCCGGGCAGAAAGTCCTCGCGCACTCACAATAGCATCCGAGGCCTGCCAGGCCTGCTAGGCCTGCCAGGTGTGGGCTTAAGTGCAGCGCAGCCATGCCGCTATCTCCGCAAGCAAATCCCTCCGGGGGACCCAGACCCAACTCGCACTGCTCGCACTGCGGCGTGCCTCAGCGTGGCGGGGCGTGGCGGGGCGTGGCGGGGCGTGGTGGGGCGTGGGCGGGCGTGGCGGGGCGTGGCGGGGCCGGGCGGAGAATGGCGCCACCGCGTTGGTCCTGCTCGCCTCGTTCTGAGTGCTCTCCAAACGGAAACTTCGCAGCCAGCAGCTTGCGCTCGACGACGACCCCCACGCCACCGCTGGAACCTCCCCACAGGAACAACCTCTCTAAAACCACCCGGGTGGAACCACCCCGTTGGAACCACCCTGTTAGAACCACCCCGCTGGAACCAACCCACTGGTACCAACCCCCTGGTACCAACCCGCAGAAACCACCCCTCTAAAAACCCCCCGTTGGAACCACCCCTCTAAAACCACCCCGCTGGAATCATCCCGCTGGAACCACCCCGCCAAAACCATCCCGCCAGAACCACCCCGCCAAAAGCACCCCGCCAAAACCACCCCGCTAAAACCACCCCGTGAACCCCACGCAGCTCACCTAAGTTACCCCCTCATCCCATGCCCCATCCACAACCCCCACCCTTAACTCCGTCCTGCCATCCCCACCCCCACCCCGCAACCTTCCTCCAGACGGCCTTCCCTTCCCGCCTCCAGTTTCTCGGTCTGCTTCCCGAAACAGAGTTGCCGCTGCCCGCGCGATGAGCACGCTGCAGTGAACTGCAGAGTGAGAGTCGTTTTCGCCGCTCTGTCTCTCTCGCACTCACGGGGCACTCCGCATGGTTGCGAGCGAGACAGAGAGGCGAAAACGACTCTTGGAATGAGTCTGGCCATCGTCGCTCTGCGTCGCTCTGCGTCGCTCCGGCCGGCCAGCGGCTCACTCCGAACAACGCCCTTCGCTCTGTCTCGGCAGGGTGCCGCGCCACGGGCGCGAGAGAGGCAGAGCGACGAAGCACTTGTTCGGGTCCAGCCTGCAGTGCCGCCAGTGCCGCCATAATTGCGCGGGAAACGGAAACCACATGGCCTTCCCCCTCCCCGTCCCCCTCCCCTTCCCCCTCCCCCCTTTTTTCGCAGGGCCGCGGTCCGCTAACGAAGGTAATTATTCGTTCACCAAAAAGCAGCGGAGCGGAGAGTAAAGAAGAGAGCGAACGGCCGTCGAATTACTGGTTCGACCCGCGCGCTTGCCCCCGGACTGCCCCTTACGCCGCAGCCAGGCTCATTCGGAGCGCTGCTCTCGGCGCTCTGTCTCTCTCGCACCCATTGGGCGCCTCGTATAGGTGCGAGAGAGACAGCGACGAAGGCAGTGCTCGGCCCCATTCCGCAGCGCTGCTAGCAGTGCCCTGCCAGCGGGTGTACATCTGCTTCCCTACCGACGTGACATACCCATATTTCTGATCAAGAAATATTTATAGAAATGTTGTGCAAATATTTCTTAAGTCTATCGGTTCATTATCGGTCTCGCTGCGCGCGCTTCAAACGGAGACCGCAACAATTTCGTCCCGTTCATTATTTATGTACTGCCCACTGTGAAACGAAACCCACGTGGCGCACAGTGGGCCGGAAGATCGGTGGAGGCGGTTAAAATTCCAGACGCGTTTTGAGCTCCAGGAGACGCTAAGTGGGACTCCAACCGAACAAATGGATGGCTCTCCGAACGAGGAATCCACTGGTGGGGTAACACGTTCGGTTCGAGTCCTGCTTGGCGACTGTGGGGCTCAAAACGCGTCGACAGTTTTGGCCCACTGTGCGGCGCGTGCGTTTGCGGCGGATGTTTGGCCGACGCCGCCTGAAACGGCAGTCGAAGCCGACGGTCAGGGACACGCACCGCGTGAGAGAGAGAGAGAGGAGAGAGAGAGAGAGAGAGAGAGAGAGAGAGAGAGAGAGAGAGAGAGAGAGGGAGAGAGGGGGGGGGGGGTTGCTGCGTTTGTGTGAACAGGACGCTTGGCGGGCCAACAGGCCCCGCATGGCGCGGCTTCCCAATGAGGCGGTGGCAAAGGGCGTAAGGGAGGGGAAGAGGGGGGGGGGGCTGCCCCGCGTGGCCTGGCCCACAGCCCGGCCCGCAGCCCGGCCCGGCCCGAGACCCAGGCTGCCCCAGGCCCAGGCCGGCCTGTTCCGCCTAGCGTCGCCTGCGAGTTCTGAATAAGGCATGCCGCGTTGCCGCGCGTTCGGGGGAGGGGGGGGGGGGGCAGCAGTGGAGGAATTTCCACGCTTATATCTACGCTCCGGCGCTACGGTGTGTCACTGCCTCGCCGGCGCCCCATCTTGTAGTCACGTCGTCTTTGTCCTCGCTTCCCTCGATTCGCTGCGTTCGCTGCCGCCCGGCTGCCTCTTTTCTCTCGGCTTTCCTTCTGTTTGTGCGCGTTCTCTCCCCCTCTCACCTCATCCTGCTGCCGCACTTTTCCTCGTTAGTTTCATAAATCACTTTCACAGTGCTGATTTCAATTTCGGATTTCCCTGCGTCCTGCGCCCTCTCCTCCTCCTTCTTCGTCCCCTGGGCGCGTCCTCGTTCGTCCTTGGCAGGGTCCTTAGCAGCCAACCAATCTTCTGATCCTTATCCGAGACTTTTGCCTCCGTGGCGGCGTGGCCATGGGCGTGGCGGTGCAGCGCCGGCACGGCGCATCATGGCTCTGCTCGCCTCGCATGCAGACCGGTTTCGAACAGTCTCTGTCTCTCTCGCACCCCTCCGGGACGCCCCATGAGAGCGAGAGAGACAGAGCGACTGCCCTGCAGCTCAGTCTACGCATCTCTGCCCCCCCCCTCTTCAATGCGGACATCCTGCTGGAGGGTATAATACAGGCACCCAGGCTGGCAGGGCCGGTGCACGTGTGGATCCTACACTACAACACACACGGCAGGAGTCCGTTCGTGGCGCAGGAACCTCGTTGTTGCTTCTGGAGTCTCGGTGAGAACTATGCAGTGCACACCAAAGGCCGAGGTGGCGGCTAAAACATTTTTCATTCGTTCATTTTTATTTTATTTTTTATTTTCTCTTGGATAAGTGGTTGTTGGTTCCCTCATGCACCCGTTCGCGTTATATCTTCTTCATTCTTCATTCCTTCATTCATTCATTCATTCATTGCATTCATTCATTCCCCATTCATTCATCCATGCATTCATTCATCCCAGTCATCATTCATCCATTAACATCATTCAGGCCATTCTCGCATTCGCCATGTAACCCGGGCTTCATCACTTCATCGATTTTCTCCCCAGCTGGGGAACAGTCTTGACTTGGAAGCGGTGCACGGCATTTTAACAGTTGT